GCCCTTTCATGGCCGATGACAGCCCTGATGTTGTCTTGTCTTAAAAACACTACCAGAATATTCTGTCAGCAGGGATATTGCTTCACTGTTTACTCCTAAACCCAAGCAATAAGTCGGGATCAACTTACTATTGCAGCGTGTACTTTATTCAATGTACCCATTTTTTCGGCCTATACCACTTAAGACTAATGTTATTTCATGGTTACTCCTTTTGAATAACGGTTGACAGTAATGACTGCGAAACTGTTTCCCTCGATCAAATCGGCGTTAACTCTTAGCGTCAGCCTCGTTGAGATATTGGATGTGCGCGAATTGAAATTCTCCCCATGCACGTGTTCGTAAGGCTGCTCCCACAGCTGTTTATCCACGACTACTAGAAACAGTACTCTCCTAGTTACAAGCGATGTGCTTTTTGTTATCAAATTTGTAAGTTCGGTAGTAGGTGTTAATGCCATCTACGCAGACTTTCGGGCTGACATATACTTGATTAGTAAGAGCTAACACCCAATACATGAAAACCCCTCTCCTTACTTATTATCTCAACTCTGGCATAAGTCCTAAATCACGCATAGTACTAAGCGAAATGATCACCCCCTAACCAGAACTGCGAATGACTCGGGTAAAACTACATTTTCTAGCGCAACAATGTTAAGGTAGACCTCGGGGACCGCTACCAAGGTATTCAGGGCTGTTCCCAATTCGAAGACGTTTTCGGAACCTCACCGAACAAAATCTCTTGTTTTATTTGAATGCTGCCCACCAGTTTTGCTTCCTTATCATGCCCATTATATTATGGTCTCGAAGAGGTTTGCTGCCGGGTCCTGTTCTATTGCGCTTACTCCGCAGTCGGCCATCATGTTACAAGAAGCTCTGCCTTCTCCTTAAGTATGGGTCACTGTGCACTGAATTCATGAAGATATGTAAGATAAATTGTAGGATTTATCCTTTTGACCGTCATATCAACTGGAAAATTAACACGGGCATCATAAATGGCTGTACATGCCTCCTATATCCAAACCAGTTATCCGGAATTCACTTGGCCGCTGAACAGAGAGCGATTTTGGTTGAAAATGTCCATCTTCGAGAAGCGAGTTGACGTTTGGCGAAAGCCTGCAAGCATTGTCTTTGATTCCTGGCTGTAAGCCATTCGTCATTCGCACGCTAAGTGCTCCCGGAGTCGCAGATCCCGTACTCAACGGCATGTCTTTCTTGTACACAAAAGTGATCAGCGTTAGTTTTTGTCGCGTCTTGTGCTTTTTTCACTCCCAGTGCCATCTGCCTCAGCGTTTGTATGCACCAATTCTGTTTACATATTTTCCAACCCTTAGCTCGCTGCTTTCGCTCACATATTGCCGCACAACGTTTCGTCCACGCGCAGCATAAATGCTATACTCGTGTATATCATTTTAAAGGAGACGGACCGTGTTACCGAGACAATGGACTTTTCAGTGCTTGTAAGATGTAAGCAATATCGATTCTTGGCCACAATCGCTTAGCTCGGTTGCCTCGGACTGCGTCTCATATTCTGAGTGGTCCTAAACCGTCCATTGTCGTGTTTTACTAGGAATATTATTAACTAGGGTAGTGCTGAGGCCACTCCTATCTGTAACCCCTACTGTTTTCCCACGAAAATCGACAAAATCGCCAACTTACCGATGCGAGCTCAGGGTCTGATTTTCGTAGGCTTCAGAGATTTGACATAGCTGTGGCCTCAATTCTTAAACCAGACAACAGTTTGGAAACGCTGATTTGGGCTCGCTCCGTCGCCATCATCTAGGGAAGGTACTGCACAAACACCTATGTAACAGGGTCGTGTGCACTGGACTAATACGCACCAAGCATATGTTTTTAGAACCTCTGTACTAGGGAATAAATCTCTGAGGATATATCTGCAACCGTAGTCGCTATATTTATTCCAATGTGCCTCTTGGCGAGACCGTGGCGTCCAACTCTATCTTGGAGCTGAATTACAGTTTTATTAATGAAGTCCATTTCGTGATAATACATGTAGCCTAGTTTGGAAGTCCATAGCAGGTGACTAACGGAGTGGACGTCCATCTCTCTTTTAATCCTATATTCCAATGTATCTAGCAATACCTTAAAAAGTATAACGCCCTAGGAAGACAGTTAGTGCAATCTTCTTCATTCTTTTTGGACACCATTTCAAAATGTAACGAAATATTAGTATGTGGCAAAAGACTTTCAGCTGTCTTTATATTTTTTCAAATAATTAAGTCTCCTCCTGATTCTCCGTTTTGCTAGACAATATTTCGATTTCGCTTTTTTCGCAATTCCTTTTTAACGTGTCATTTTTGAGTTGGTCTCGTCTGCGGTCTCTGAGTGCTGGGTCGCTTGTTGCTTGGCCCCCCTGTGCTGATATTTACAGTAGGTGGACTAACTCATGAAATTTCGATCGAAATTACGAAATGCGTTCTGGTTTTGAAAAGATTAATTAAATGGGGCTGTAAAACTAATCATCCTGCAACATAGTTCTATAATAATTCAGTTACCCCAGGATGCCGGCTTTCAAAAGGACTTATTTCTGACCATGCAAAAGCTAGACTGTAAAAATGGCTACTTAATTAGCATACATTTTCTCACTGGTTTTCGATGTCCTTAAAAATTCAATCATATTCCATCGAAAACATGCATAAAAATATTCATTCGTTTACTCACTAGGTAGAAAATTACCTCTTCCTTCAATTTTATACTAGAAGGAAGAGTATACTCCGGTTTTCAAAGAGCTTTTAATTGGGAGTTTTTTTAGTACCCTGAATTGGCCGTTCATAAAACGTCATGCCTCTGCTTTTACCAACGTGGCTTGTTAAGTTAATAACATGGCTCAACTTCACTGCTAAATTGTGTGACTTCCATATAGTCTCCTCTTGATACCGTAGATACATGTATGATTTTCCGTACGCAGCAAGTGCAAGTGTAACGGCAGGTCGGGTTCAAAATTATTCGGGAATCGGAGAAGTTTTCGAAAAATTGGTTATACCCTTCTCGTATAAATTGGAAGACGACGTAATTGTCTACCGAATGAGCGAAAGAATGAATATTTTTAGGCATGTTTTCCTTAAAACATAATTGAATTTTTAAGGAAATCGAAAACTGACGTGAAAAGTGCATGCTACTTCAGTAGTCATTTTTTACAGTGTGGTTGTTGTTTGCAGCCAGAAAGAGGTTCTTTCGAAAGCCGACATCCTGGGTTAAGTGAATTTTTATAGAATTATGCTGTACAATGATCAGTTTTACAACCCTACTTAAATAATTTTTTCGAAACGAAAACGCATTTCGGGATTTTGGTCGACATTTCATGAGTAAGCCCACGTACTGTAGTTTAGGGCCGGTCTTGGTAGTTATCAGCAATTATTTGTCAGTGTTTTATTGTCATTTATGCTTCCCACGCTGCTAACGAGGCCTGTCACTGACACCTTAGTTCAAGCCTCGCATCCATGGCAAACATTTTGGAAATTTTTCCGGTTCTTAAATTTGTCCAAAATTGCCTTTGTCCTACTGAATATTTGACAAAAATGGAGATTCCAAAAGACGCCGTAAGATGTCGGTAAACTTCTCGTCAAACCGTTCAGGAAAATTGAGCGATTTCATGATAAAGTGCGAGTCCTATTCGGGTGCAATGTCACCAATATGAGGGCTACATATCATACGTAGGTCCCGGTTGAATTTTCACATGTACAAGTTATCACTACAATGCTAAGTTACGCCATACTAAAGTTGTAGACGCCTGTGAAATGCTAAAAGTTTCCTGACCGCGTATTTTCGGCGACATCAACCTTCTACTTAATCTTTTACACATTTCCAGTGCAACCCGTTTGAATGTCCACGCCAGCCCAACGCCGGCTTCTGCGGGATCTCAAACGCCTACAGAACGACCCACCTCCAGGAATATGTGGCTCTCCCACAGACAATGTAATGGTTTGGAACGCCGTAATCTTCGGACCGGAGGAAACCGCTTTCGAGGATGGCACATTTAAGCTGAAGCTTGAGTTCACCGAAGAATACCCTAACAAGGCGCCTCGCGTTGTTTTCGTTTCAAAAATGTTCCATCCCAATGTTTACGCTGACGGTAGTATATGCTTGGATATTCTTTCGAACGCTTGGAGTCCTACCTACGACGTCCTTGCAATTTTGACTTCCATTCAGTCGCTTCTTGATGAACCTAATCCCAACTCACCGGCAAATAGTGTAGCGGCCCAGTTGTACGTCGAGAATCGCAGGGAATACGAGAAGCGAGTCCGCGCTTGTGTCGAAGACAGTTGGGACGACAAGGACGCATGAGTTTTCTTTATTTACTGTTTTATTTGAGTCACACTCCTGTCCGCACGTTCATTTACAAACATTGGCCGTTTCAGTGTACATATTTTCCTTCGTGCAACTCCGCGTTTCGCGGCAAACCAAGCCTACCATAATTCATTTCAAAGAGAGCTGCAATGGAGGAGAGCATCTGGTCGTTTATTTTGTCAGTCCACCTTTATGATATAGACAGCTTCTCTACTAAATTTCTTTGCCGAACTTTCAATGAATAGATCCATTTTGTTTAAGGTTATTTTCTTCTTCCTTTTAAGTTTTTTTGTGCGTTGTGAAAGCCTGGTCACGACACGTCGCAATGGCCAGGTCTTTTTTACAGAGTTCGGCTAGCGCCACCTACTTTCGGGTGGCCCTTCTACTCCCGAGGATTTTGGCGTAGTGGAGTTAGGGTTTTCCTTATCACTGGCTCAGTTTTCTGAACGTTGCTGATGATGGGCTTTCTGAGGAATTTGGCTTTCCCCGATCCTTGCTGCTAAGCGCCCATTTTCTGAATATCTTACTCGAACTACTAAATTTTGGTTTCCTTCAAAATAATTATACGATTAGTTTTCTTTTTAATTCCCTTCGAGTCGATGCAAATTACTCGAATCATCGAGCCGACAACCTTTCGAGTGCAACCGAAGTTTGACATCATGCGCGTACGGGACACATTCCGAGAATGACAGAGATTTATGCTCGGTAATTTACCAGCTGCGCATTCATTCAGTTTTACACTGCATATTTTGGTTAGCTGTCGAAGTCGATGCAAAGAGTAGACAGTTCATCCATCTGCCCACGCTAGTGGCAATCATTTCCTATGTGCAGTTGATGTGCTATCCCATGAAATGTCCACTGAAATTCCGAAATATGTTTTTTTATTTGCAAAGACAACATATGTAGGGTTGTCATCAGTTGTCGTGTCGCATAATGTTAAGATACCTCAGTCACATCAAGATCTCGGCTTTCGAACGTGCTTCTTATCAGCCGCTAGCATAGGCTGCATTCCGCAAAAGTGACTACTTAAGTAGCATAGGTTTTTCAACTGATTTTCGATGCCTTCGTAAATTCGAATGTTTTACAGAAAACATGCACAAAATATCCTTTCTACTACTCATCTAGTAGTGAATTGCGTCTTTAAATTTTTTACTTGAAGGAAGAGTATCCTTCGATTTAAAATTTTCCAAATTCTCGAGTAACTTCGAAGTCGCCTGTGTTGAACTTGCATTCGGGGTTTCCACACTACAAACTGTGTACATGTCGTTTAAGGAAAATCGGACACTTCACAGAATCTTGTGGTCGATGTGGACAGCGTTGTCTAATTTATAATCAGCTTTGATAAATAGGCTGACGTGACACTTTTTGACCGGACATTTCACGGCCATGAGAGATTTAATCGTTCGAAACTTTCTTAAAACGGAAATAAACACTTCCCTCGAGTATAAAACTTTAAGGACGTTATTTGCTACCAAGTGAGCAAAATAAAAGTGGTTTTGTGTATGTTTTCTATAAAATATATTTGAATATGTAAGTGTCGAAAACCGATGAGAAAAATTAATACTACTTGAGTGGTCATTTTCTAAGGAATGTAGTTTACTAAGGCTTTCAAGGGGAAGCTCGTTCGAAAGTCGGCACCTCGACGTAACTAAAATGTTTTGGCATTGTGCGAAAGGATAATTAACATGACAACTCTACTTAAGAAATTTCGGAATGAAAATGCACTCCAGAACTTCGTCAACATTTCATGAGATTGCACATCTACTTTACCCACGTGTTCTGACCGACTGGTACTTTGCTTTTCAGTGCTTTAGACGATAGAAGACTAGTCGCGCTAATGCGTAATCGCGTCACACCGTAGGTGGCGATGGCAACTGTCTTAAGAGCGACCCTGGTTGGTTAATTATCCATTTTTGATCGATTCGTCTGTGACTACTAGCTTGTGCTTAATACGACGCTGGTCCTTCTTATTATTTGCGTTCTTCATGCTGCCCGAGCGATGTTTTTCCGCGCGCGATCGCTTATGGTTACAGATACTGGGGCTAAGCACTTGAAGAGGTGATCACTGGGATAGCTTATTTTTGAAATACGGATTTTCGGACAGCCAATATGGCTCTTAAATCTCTAGAAGCACAGACCGAATACGACTCGCGTGTTGACGAACTGTGCTAGATTTTGGGCTAACCTGTTTTGTAACTCTCCCCTCCTACAGGCGTCGTCTAATTTATGACAACAGCACTGAAGTCGGGGAAAAAGCAATCAGGGAGCCGCCTCTTTCGTCTTTCTCGAGTAGCTCCAATATTTTGCGCTGCTCTCATCGTGTGTAGTGCGTCGTGCGCAGTTAAATGCGCTTGCTCGATTCGAAGGACAGTTTTCAGGCAGCCATGGTCGGGAACTGCTTGCTCGACTTCCACATGCACAACAAGCAGTTCTCAACCGCAAGGAAACGAACCGGACGGATGCCAAGCCCTTATGGATCTTCGTGGTTATGAAGGTGCCGCGGCGGGTCCACACAACCCTGAACGTTGTTGTGAACCATGCGGACATTATTTCCGCGGGTAATATCGTCCTTGGTCTGTATGCCAACATCTAAAGATATTTGAAACAGTCATCTTCCTTGGGCATATACCTGTTAATCGTGGAAAATCCCTTGACTGTTCCTCGCGCATCAGGCTCACTCCGAAACCGGAACTGAAGTCAACGGATACGTTCTTGTCTCCTCATACTTGTCCAATCAATTTGTGAACCCAGTGCCAATCTAAGTCTCCAGACTTTAACAGGGATGTCCTTCCCAGGTGCCGTCTTATTACGCAGCTCCAGTATTGCGTCGAGAATTTCTCCCTGGGAATGAACGTCGCATTAGGCAGATGAGACTGGAGAACAAACTCGACCACTGAGGACATATGAGTGGTTGTGATTATACTTGGTACGTGTATGGCCATAAGTGACCTTACCGGCCTCGCATCGTGATTTGCGACCGCCTATGTGCAGAGGTCGACCCACTAATGACGGAAACCGAATGCCCGGAGTAAGAGAACCGAATCCTTTTCTTGAACGACCGCGTTGAGTTAGGTTTTGGGTTAACATTTTTTCGACACCTTCGAATGAGCAGCAGCAGCACTGGACTCCTAGGGGAGGGGAGGGGGCGACAGTGGGGAACGTGCCAAACCACCTCGATCCTTTGTGGATGGTCAGGGATATCCTCGCGATGTTGCAGCGAGTGCGAACTTTCTCATTCGAACTGCACTGGGTATACTTCGCTCGAAGGAAAGTTCTCAGGCAGCGACGGTCAAGTATAACATATCCAGTTTGTTTCTTGCACGAACAACCCAAAATCAGAGACAATATAAGAGGACTGACCAGCCGAACGTCCGCCATATGTGAATACGCGTGGCAGTGGAGGTATCGCGTCGGTTCCTTAGACACATTCCGGCAATTTTGCAAATCCTGCAAATAGCATCAGTTCGTTGAACAACATCGTTCTTACGCATTCGGCCGGAGCCTCGCCCCGAGATGATTACACCTATCCGTTTCTTCCTATTGACAACTATTAGTATTGGAGGTTGCCTTCTACTGGTTAGCATCTATGGATAAACTGACCAATTTAACTACTTCCTTCACTCATGGCACCGCGGTTTGTTGGCCACTAAAGCTTGATGTTGGCTGTGCGATATCATCAATGCAGTGAAGGTCAATTGGTCGGCGCATGGCTGCAAATTTGACACCGTCAACACTGTACACGTCACTTCCCTCAGTCGATTTACCGGGTTAACGGGCTAGCTACAACGCCCATCACAGGAACCTACGATGGACGGAAACGAACGCTGCGTCGAAATCAACGACGTCGACGGCCATCGGTTATCGGTAGCCATAGATGAATTCAAGAATGCACTGCAGTATAAAAATCAAGCCTCTGCATATGCACATTCTCACCAACGTTTGACGTCTGCCCCATGGAAATTTATGCTTCAGCTTCATGGCTTTTATAGTCATTTTCGGCCGATTTTACCACCGCTTTCTGGAGCTGTCAAAACCACTGCGCGACTGCGGTGCTCGTTTGCTGATCCCTTCGTTGCGACGTAGCTGATGAATTCAAAGACTTAGCAGCCGCCTCATTGACCGATGGCTTAGACGATGGCCATTTCCTACTACCCTTTTTGACTCGGCACGTATATCGAGATGCGGTTTCCGCGTTCAGGGCGTCGACTGTGTTGGTTGTTGTAGTTTTTCCACATCCAGGCGTCTTGAGCGTAACAGTTTGGAAGCCAATGAGAAATGTGCTCTCAGGCGTGTGTGAACTAGAACTTGATCTGACTCATTACGTTGCTGATGTCAGCTCCATGTGCCCATCTACAAAACCTTGAACTTATTAGAGCGTAACTGTCCTAGCTGTCTGTGCGATCCGCATTTGAAAAGCCGGGCGGCAGATGCACGTGGTCAGTCTCAACGCACAGCGTAGTAGCTAGCCGGGTGTGATCAGCAAAGCTCAACATTGCCGCATTAACAAGCAGGCCCAAACTGATCAACAAAGTCGCCTGGTCAAACCCGGCTATCCCATTCACAGAATAAAACCAGCAGATCACAGCGATTGAGTCTGGCAATTAGTTCTTGCGGCTTCAAATAGGTTTATGTATCACACTGGTAGGAAGTTTATGTTGGCGTGTACACAGGGTTGACAGAGATGTCCGTAAAGCGACCCTTCAGTCGTACATAAGCTGTGCATGCTTTGCTTGTTGCGATCACCACACCATATCTACTACAAGAGCTGCGTGGGTAGCTGTGGTATGAATTGAGAGATGAGTTGGTCCGCAGGGTCTTTATTTCTCGAGTGCTTGGGTCGGGGATTCGGACTCCAGGCAGTTAGCAGACATCAACGTTGTACAAGTGAAGGCTGTGCGCAGTCAGGCTTTGGATACCAGGGTCCGGGTATATTCCAGGTTATTTCCCGTAGCCCAACGGCTTAAGAACCTTACCGCATAGAAGCGGTTGTAAGCAGACTTCTTCACTGTCGATTCACGGCCGTCATGTCACAGTGTCGATGGAGCAGTCCGTGCGGCGGACCCTAATGTTAAGCGCCGTCGTGGGTCTGTCGCTGGTCCGCGACTGTCTAATCGGCGTACCCCAAAGCCCGCTCATTTCGTAGCCAATTTTCTCCAAATGCCCTTATATTACCCTTCACCCGTGAACTCAATGGGTAGCCAGTAATTAGGTCAACAGGAAGTGGTTATTTGTCGGTCATTGAAACCAAGAGGATGCCCAAAACCACGTCAGCGCCCTATGGAAATCGATTTCTCAGGAACTAAGTCATTCACACCGCGCGTAGACCAATTAGGTGCAACCGATTGTCTGCTTATTTGGCGTATGATTAGGTCGTTTTCTATTACCAGTAGCATTTGAGACTTCTTCCACGTGAGTCGGAACTCCTGCCAAATCATTCCTGTGGTCTTATCAAATCATTTATTTCGTCGTTCTCTAGAGTCGCCCGATGTCGCCCGTTTTGTCATTTGACAGCTAATTCGCTTTTTGAGAGCTTCAAACATGATCATTGGTTCCTGCTTCCTTCTGGTCCGACCGAAAAGCAAGATCAGACTTGCGGTCAGGAACCCAGCAGTGTTGGACTGTCGAAATTCTGCGAGATCGAGACGGTGGGCGCCAGGTATTCTGGCGGCAGATGAGAAGTTAGACTTTGAACGCTGGTGGACAAGAATATGACCTGACCAACGTTCGTAATTGTCCTCGGCACCACACACCCCGCTCACGAAACTTGTTTAAACATAACCAGTCTGACTCGTTGCAGAACTATCCTGAGAACAAGGGGTTAGCGAAGTTTTCCGACAATGGCGGAGCCTCGTTTTAATGACACGATCAGTTTGTACTCGGGGATTTCAGGAGTTACACCATCCTAACATTCAGAGCCCAGTCCAGACCGGTGAGGCGCTTTTTTGAAAAATGCCAACGACCGAGTCCAGCCACTGGCAAGAGTTAGTAGATCATGACGACCATGACTTACATACTGTAGTTACCCATTCGTCTGTTTCACTCACTGCTTGTCGTGCCCATCCGAAAGGGTGGTCGTCATTCCGTGTCTACCAGGTGGGCTGCAAAAGCCACTGTGATAAAGAAAAACCAGGAATTTGCCATGGGAATTTTATTTGTTGGGGGTTTGATTCTCAAATTTAGACAGGCAGCAGACGTCCACACTGCACTGGTATAGCCTGGACATTTGAGACTTTAGGTTTAGGTGTTGAGGATCCTATGCGCACTCCAACAGGCGGTGCTGTAGGTCTGTATCCGATTGAATTGTCTACTTCTACGACCCCGTTTGCCCCTTTGGATCGGGATGGCTGGGCGCACTGACTGATGCAGGCACATTGCGTGGACCGCAGCAAGATGTTCTACTACTTGTTTTAACAGGACACGTCGGTACTTTTAAGTACTGACGAACCCAGGTAGCCCCCCCCCGCCTCATTTTTTTGTTCGAGGTCGCCTTCTATAGGTCTTTGGTTCGTTAAAACCTAGTCGCAAGACAGGTTTGACAAGGAAACTTATTTAGTGGCGGTTCATGGCTGCCGTGTCACAGTGCCGTCACCGGACGTTGCGGTATTTTTTAGAGCTTTCGACGTGGCAGAGTTCGTACCTCTGCGCCACTGGTCCGCCATTGCGTCTGCCAGGCGTAAAAGTCTGCTTATTTTTGAACTAGCCCGTGGACGCTCTTGTGGCCTACCAACCAGGCGGAGGGGTTGACCGTGAGCTGGTCGACCCATTTAGCCCCAAGCACCACTACCTTGCGACTACTGGTGATATTTTTAGGTTTGTGCCCTCGATTGTTGGTTGCCGTGTCGATCCGTACAGGAATTATTGTCTGTCGCGGTGCTCCAGACGAGAGCAAGTCACTTATGGACACTTGTAAGGACTGCCGACCATCTGATGTTGTCGAAATCCATAAATTGGAGATCTTCTTGGCCCTGTTGTTTTTAGGGCAAGGTAGGTTGCCTTAGTCTCCAGTCAAAAGCACTATGTAGAAATAGCCTCATCAGCGGGTAGTCAGGTGCTACGATGTAGTCACACCAGAGCTGTCGACCGCGTCTTTTGATGATCCAATCCAATTAGTTTCGGGCATGTTTCAAGACTGGGGAGGATCTCCGTCCCCTATATGAGCTGTATTTAGGTTTCTGTAACCTTGCAGGTCTGGGATACAACACACCAGTAATTTTTATCTTTGTTGCGTTGCATTGGATTGTCACTGTCTCTGATTGGTTCACTTGGTGGAGGGTGTGCAAACCCTCTTCACCACGTCTTCTACCGTACTTGAGTGTTTGCGTTCGATAAAAACTTTATCGGCATACAACTTTGTATCTGCTATGTTCTTACTTAAAAAAACTCGTCAAAAGGCGACGTTGCGTGTATTTTATGTGGCCACGTAACGCTGATACACTGCACTTATTCGCTTTCCCGAATCATTTTATAGCAGGGGACAGGACGGCTGCTTCGTGGGGTAGTCTCTGCCTCCAAAGCGGTGGCGCCGGACCACGCTACACCCCATCTCGCTCTTCGCCGCCTGTCACTGAGTAGGACAAGTCGCACAAACACCGTTTTCTGGCTCAGCTCTGGGGACATATTCCGCAATCTAGCCTTTGAGGCCAGTCTCTTCGCTGACAAACAGCGCTATCAAAGCGATAACTCAGAAGGGCGGCGGCTCGCGGACGCCGTGCTCTGGAAGAGCGATCCCTGTGTGGTGATTGGTCTTCACCAGAACGCTTGGCTGGAGGCAAATCCCCAGGAGGTGGAACGACGCGGCTGGCGCTTAGCCCGACGGATGTCCGGTGGCGGAGCTGTTTTTCACGACTACGGGAACCTGAACGTGAGCTTTGTGGAGTCAAGGTCCACTTTAGAACGACGTAAATGCATGGAATTCCTACAGAGGGTGCTGATGCGGCATTGGCCCCATCTGGAAGTCTTTGTTGGACCCCGCTACGACCTCTGGCTTCTTCCTGCTGGCCTGCCTGATAATGCCAACTCCAAAGAGGTGGAGATACTTCCAACGTAACAGTATAGAACGTGCTTTGCCGTAATTTCGCATTTCAAGAGTTTTCAGTAATGCTTTGACGTAACTTGTGTGACCGGAGCGCAGACGTTTACGACAACATTTTTTCCATTTCATGATCAATTACGTAATTCACGACGTCAAATTACCTTGTTGATACGCGGAGACGGCGAGTTCCCGTAAGTAGGTTGCAAGGAACAGACACGATTGCCGGAGCAGGAGGTTCGTATTCCAGCGTCGCTCCGTGGCAGCCCCACCCTCTCAACACAATACAGGGCTAAGTTGCACATGATGTTGTCCACAGCGAGCAAACTTCCTCAGAATCCTATCAGTTGGCAACCCCGAAGCCATGACTGTTAGCTCGTCGGGCTAGTTTCAAAGCATTATAGAACTAAGGCCCACATCAGAACTGGATCAACCTCACACTCGCCTAGCCCACACACAAGCGGTCTGTGCGAAAAGGTTCTACTATGGACGTGATTGGGTGCAGTGATGGACGTAGGGTGAAATCGCCGACCAACGTCTGTCACACGAAGTTAGATCCCGAATACTCATGAGGTGTCATAGGAGCCGCGCTAAGGACCGAGTCACACCGTCAGCTAGCAACGTTCCAGGTCAAGTTTTACAGCGCACCATGATAAGTTTAAACGTGCTGGATTTATTGTAGTGGGAAATGTGTTACATTGCCAGGATCAGTCATAGTTCCTCTCCTCCCCCTCCCATGTATCAGTGGCCAGTCCGAACCATTGCCGACAAGGGAGACTTCCCGGCGATTATCTGTGAAGTCCTGTGACATTAGTCCTCGTCGTCACACCTTCTTGGACCGGAGGGCTTGTTTGTGTGGTAAACTTTGTCAGGATTAAAGCTTGCCCTGGCCTGTCTCACAACAGGAGTACCGTCCACAGCCTGCTAAACCGAACCAAAACACACGGCTCGGATGAAGAAAGTTATCAAGAAGAAGTGAAATACCTCCTCAAATTATTTGCCCACAACGGGTACCCTCGCGACTTCGTGCGTCATTGCATAAGGCATTAGTTCAAACAGAAAGGTATTTCGAGCACTACGGCCACCCAAGTACCAAAAATTTACGTGGTGGACTCCTATACCTGAACGATGTATCTGAGCTCATCGAAAGACAGCTGAGAAAAACATCAGGTACAAGTAGCACACCAACCTGCGTACACAGCTTGTACACTCTAAGGATAGAGTTGGCTATCTTGATTGAAAAGGTGTTGTCTACAAGATCCCATGTGCCAGTTGTGATGCCGTCTGTTGTACCCAGACTAGGAAATCTGTCTCGACCCGCATGTATGTGCATCAGTTAGCGGTGAGGAGACGAGATCATCTGTCCCAGGTGGCTATGCACACACCAGAAACAAATTTGCATGGAAGAATATTCGCATTGTTGGCGCCTGCTCAATAAGGGAAGGCCGCGGATTCCTGGGAGCAACGCATCCAGATGAGGCATGCATCAATTGGCATATTAATTTTGTATGACATGTACAAACTTCTCAAGGACAAGTGAAAGCGAGCACAGCCAATGGCGAGGGATGACGAAATACCATTGACGCGCATTGGCGCAGGCTCAGGCCAGCCACAGAATTACTTGTTCGACTGTTAAATAGTGAACCGTTTTTGTCTGAGGGTGAGCTGGGGAACCAGTATCAAAAGTTTACACAGTAAAGGTTATTTTTGTTCCCAAAGAACCTTACCTATTTTAAATTAATTTTCTTGGGATTCCCAGCAATTTTCCGCAAAAGTAGAATGTGTTCTGCATATTCCTGTATGCAACTGGCCTAATCTTTCGTTGGTATCTGAGGGGACCATCTCTAAATTCGTTGAAGTATTCGCTCCTTGTTCATCCATGCCATTTCGCACTTACTGGCACACTGTGTTGTCTTCTAGCGGGACTTGCTCATCACAACGCCTCCTCCCCTGGCAAGTCTAGCCTCGGTCAGCTAACCATAGCCGCAATTCGCTGATTTCCGGTTCTTCCACATATACATGTAGTAACCGGGCTGTCTTTAGCGCAGTCAAACCGTTTTCATCTGGCTGCCTCATCACTCACGTTCTCTAGCCACAATGACTTGCTCTCATTGGTCGTCCATTGAAAGGCAACTTGCAGTATTACAGTAGGCGGGCCAACTCACGAAATGTCAGCCGAAATTTCGAACTGCATTCTCGTTTCGAAAAGATTAATTAAGTTGTGTTGTAAAATTAATCACCGTCCAGCATAATTTTATAATGATCTAGTTACCTTAAGGTGCCTTATTTCGAATGAACTTATTTTCGACTGCGCACGAGAGCAATAATCTGAAAAAATGACTACTTAAGGAGTATAGTTCGGTTTCAAAAAAGTTTCTAATTGTGAGGTTCATTAATACCGCGAAATGGCCGTTCATAAAACGTCATGTATCCGCATTTACCAATGTGGCTTGTAAAGTTAACAATATTGCTCAAATCTACTGCTTTATTTTATGAACCCCATGTGGCCTCATCTTAATACCGTAGAGAAATATATGGTTTTCCGTACACGGAAAATATACAGCTTGTAGTTTTGAAACCCTGAATGCAAGTGTAACAACAGGTCGGGTTAAAAATTATTCGGGTATTAGAAAAGTTTTTTAAAACCGAATTATACTCTTCTTTAGAGTATGAAATTGGAAGAAGACGTGATTTTCTACCGAATAAGTAAAAGAATGAATATTTATATGCATGTTTTCCATGAAATATGATTGCGTTTTCAAGGACATCGAAAATCAATGAGAAAATTGCATGCATGCAGAGTATAATTCTTGCATGCAGCCGGAAATAAGTTCGTTCGAAAGAAGGCACCCCGAGGCAACTGGATCATTATAGAATTATGCTGTAACATGATTAGTTTTACAACCCTACTTAATTAGTCTTTTCAAAACGAAAGCGCATTACGGAATTTCGGTTGACATTTCATGAGTTAGCCCACCTACTGTACATAGCTCTTTCATGAGTAAGACCTAAACTAAATTGCTAGAATTGAGTTCTTTAAGGAAACCGAGCGATCTTGGTCGCTGGCCTCTGTCACAATTTTTTGTTCACCCGCGCTCTTTTTTCTGTATGGTCTTGAATGCCTGCACCAGGCTCTTCGAAACCTAGGAAAATGCCCTACCAGACTAGGTTCCTTATCTTTGCTACGTTTCCTCTTTTTCGCCAAGGTCCCAGAGGGAGCATTGAAGTTTTCCGGCTCTGCGTCTCGCTTCTCCTCTGCTGTTGCTTTGCACCACTGCACTATGCTCTTTAACACCGACCTGCAAAACCTCACGGCCGTTTTAACTCCTGCATTGGTACGCAGAGCATCCTGCTTTACAGTTGGATTCATTTGTTTTCGACGACAAGCCCTTCTATAATAACTTTTTCATCTTCTCTGATGAACATGCGCCAAAAGTGGGAAGAGATCAGGGTATACCATGACGTCGTGGGCCTTCCTCAGTTGCGCCCACTGAAAGCAGTCAGTTATCTTGACCAGCAGATCGATAGAGGTCCGATTTGGCCTTCTTATGCCGACTGGATTTGATTACCGGAAAGTCGTAAGAGGTACCACATAAGTGAGATTTCACGACTTATCTGCCTTAAGGAGAACCCAAAGACAGTTGTTGCGCGATAACATTCTGGACGCCTGCAAATCATACTTGGAGAAGATTAGTAATCAAACAGTGTATCCTTTCCCCGTCAGTATTCGATATCTGTGTAGATCTAGTCGTATTTCTTAAGGAATACTCAGAAATCACATCTCGTATTTGTAGACATTTGCGTCATCTCTTGAGTGAAGAACATGCTCAACTAGGAGAGATATATTTCTGTTGTAAAGAAATAGGTGATTATGAAAATTTGCGGCATGCCTCCATAATCATTCTTGTGCTCCAATTTCGCCGATTTAATAGTGTAGGTGTAATGTGTGCAGCGTGGTCCACACCTCTTTCAGTGTTTTGTCATTACCACCGGCTTTGGCAGCAAACTGGAGCTCCAGGCCATAATGGCGTTCCCATCCCAGCACTCCTACATTTTGTGACCTGTCTGATGAAAGGTCGCGAGCTGCTTTTAAAGTCACTCCAGGCCGGGAGGGCATATAGACTACTATGTTGCCTATGATGGTTTGGTCTATACAATTTTTAAGCACAAAATCCAGCTCTTGCTGCACTGAGAGGTATTTTATCACCTTTTCCCAATTCCTCTTGATTAACTCAAAAGGGCTTTCGACCGGATTCAGGTCTGGGCTACTAGCGAGAATAAAAATGCTTTGGAGACTGCAGGAGGAGAGGCTGGCTGTGGGCTAAACTATCAGATTATAGTCATAAGCAGGATTGGAATCATACCTCCTTTGAGTGGTGAACAGGGACATTATTTTGCAACATTAGAATGTCCATTCGACGTCGATAAATGCCGTTGTAACCGAAGGCGTCCTTTACGATATCGGTGAACACTTTGCTATTTATCGTCGCTGTTGTTAAACGCCAGATTGGTTGCTCTCCGAATTTGATATCAATCTAAGCCATCAGGCATCGCCAGTTCTTGAAAGTTGGTGTCGATATAGTGTGCTCTCGTGGAAAGTTCTTCCCACATATGACTACCTGCGTCGACTTCGGAGGCTTGTCTAAAATTAAACTTCATCACAGAAGTAAGTGCTTTTATACAATGAAAGTTTGTGATCGATATATTCTTGAGCAAAGAAAAACTTTCCCTGATTAGTTTCCTATTCAAAAATGGCTTTGTCATAGCATTTTGCTGAAGAAGTCCGAGTTCTTTCCTGATTCTGGTTGTGCGCATAGAAAACATTGACAGCTGTTCCCTGTGATATTCTTAAGAGGCATATAATGGCACTTTTTTAGTGTTGGACGAATGAAATCGTCGGCTTGCCTACTTATGGGCCGCTTCGGCCCACCTTGCTTAACTCAGGGCACTGTTTTATTACTAATAATCCTCCACAGAGTGACCTGGCTAATATTTAAAATACTAGCTATCGCCTCGCGCGGCAACCCTTCGGTTGCCTGTTTTCGTATGCACACAAAATGAACCTTTTATAGGAAGTGCTTTAGTATGTTTGTTGCACGGCGTGACACAAAAGGGTGGCAGCATGTAGTTGGCAATCTATAATTCGTGACCTATCTGATGAAAGGTCACGAACTGTGAACTTAAATTGCTGTAGGGCACAAAACGCCCACCCCGCATCCACGAAAGTTATACTGCGTTAAAGATACGACCGAGCTTCAAAATAAGGCACAGTTTGGTTTATAAAGTATTATTCGTTGACTAAGAAACAATTTGTTTTACGAAAAACTACCAAATCAAAAAACGACTCTATGACATATCAACTATTCAAGGCCTAATATAACTGCCAGCAGAGAAGGAGAACGTCATAAGACGACAAAATGATGAAAAGTAGTAACAAGTACAACGTATCAGTACTTTCTCGATTGTCCTTTAACTTTCAAAGCCGCCCTAAGGCGAGAGGGCATGGAGACTACCAAGTTGTCTACGGTGGTTTGGTCTACGTAATTATCAAGCAAAAATGCCAACTTTTGCTCCATAGAAGGACGTTTTTTGCTTTTCCCCAAATTCCTTTGCTTAGTGCAAAAAGATTTTCGATGAGATTTAGGGTCGGGCTGTTGGCGGGGATAGAAATGCTTCGTAGGTCGCAGATGGAGACGCTGGCTGTGGTCTAAAATGTTAGATTATGGTCGCAAGCTGAATTAGAATCATACCTCCTTTGAGTGGTGGATAGGGGCATCATCTTGCAGCATTACGGTGTCTATTCGACGTCGATGGATGCCGTTATAACCGGAGGCATCGTTTACGATGTCAGTGAACGCCCTGTTATTTATCGTCTCCGCTGTTGAACGCCAGACCGGTTGCTCTCCGAATTTGGTGGCCATCCAAACCATCAGGTCTCGACAGTTCTGGAAGGTTTTTGTCGATATAGTGTGCTCTCGTGAAAAGTTCTTCTCACGTATGATCACCTGGGCCGGCTTCGGAGGCTTGTCTAAAAACCTCATCACAAAAGTAAATGCTTTTCCAGGAGGAAAGTCTGTAATCAACATATTTTTGAGCAAACAAAAAACGTTCTCAAATAAGTTTTCTACTTCAGAATGGCTTTATCATGGCGTTTTGCTGAAGGAGACCGAACTCTGTCATTCCCGTCTTGCGCAAAGAAAACATCGACAGGTGTTCCCTGTAAATAGCCTGGCGGGGCATATAATGACACTTTTCCAGTGTCTGACGAATGAAATCGTCGTCGTGCTTGCTTATGGACCGTTTTGGTCTACCTTGCTTAATTCTAGGCAGTTTTGTTTTTCATGATTCTTCAGAGAGTGACCTGGCTAATATTGAAAATACTAGCTAACAACTCACACGGTAGCCCTTCGACTGCCAATTTTCGTATCCGCTCAAGGTCAACTTCCGATAGGAACTGTTTCGACACCTTTGCTGCACGGCGTGGCAAAGAAAAGTGGCAGCATGTAGCGCGCAATCTATGTACACGTATTTACGTCCACTCTTCCCCGGTGTAGTAAAACAAATACTGTCGAACAAGCTTATTAATGCGTTTAGCGATATAAAACGTTACAGTTTTGATAAATAGAATTCCTAAAGAGCAAATTGCTTCTTGGTCCATGAGAATAATGTGTTTTTAAATACTTGACTTGATCTCATTTTCATGAACAGAAAATCACAATTTCCATTTCCAGAGTGGCCTTTGATATTTTTCTTTGTTATATGAAAGTCCCTTTATAACGCAACGCGTGCAAATATGGGATACTTATTTTAGTGAGTTTATACTCGATGACATATTTTGGGATTTATTTTAATGCATCACGAACCTGGGCGAACACTGCGTTTTGAAACTTGAGAACTTTTACTGTAAAAGGCAAAAAGTGCTCTACAAGACCACGGTTTAACCACTTGAATTGTCGATTTCATTAAAGCATGACAAACCTTACCTACATCTTCTCATCTGCTCTCATTCGATCCACATTTCGCCTTGCCTGACGGAGTGCATAGCAATCTCCTTCCACTTTTTTATTGCTTAGTCGCGCGCCTTCGGCATGAACCTGAAGGTGTTGCATCAGTATGCTCCGACCCAGCACTATAAGCCAGTTAGTGGCAGTCGCAAGCGTGTAATTTCGTGCAGAACCAAAAACTTGAGATCTGGCAACGCTGTCGCAATTTCTGCTGAGATGGCGCAAGACACGGTGACGCTCGTTAGCACACAGTGCCTTCGGCGCTAGTGTCCGTTTCCGCGAACGGCTCGCCAACTTGGGCGCTTCTTGTGCTTTA